GGTTTAGGGGTTTGGGGTTTAGGTATCTATAGGGGCTGGAAAAGCTGCCAATATCATTCCTTGCGACTCCTTATTATATAACAGTTACAGTCTTGTGTAGTGTAACATGTCCCCAAGCGCTGTTCTAATTGTGAAGGCCCATACACTGCATGCTACAACGCCTCCGAGGCAAGGAGAACTGCTGATTGATTTTGTCAGGCTACACTTTTGCGAAGCATGCACACCCAGAGACTCCAAAACCCGTAAATTAAGCAATATACCTTAAATCATATTAGAGATCCTATTATAATTTAAGGTATATTCCTTAATTAAGGGGTATTGGAGTCTCTGGGCACCTCACCCTTGCATCCTAAGCCCCAAACCCGAAGCCCTAAGCGCTAAAACGCATGGTGAGAGCCTTTTCTGTCTGCGCTCACGCAGCATGGTGTCAGGAAGCTGCGAAGACGCCCTCACCGCCGACCGCCACTGTGCAGGTGGGGAGGGCTGTTGAGGTTCCGGAGCGTCGAATTTTGGGGGCTTTGGGGGTTTAACCTCAACCCTAAACCCTATAAACCATAAGGTTCCGGCTTACAGGTTCTGGGCTTTGAAGACCCGAAGCCCTGAGGGCTTGGTTGGATGAACCCAAAACCCGAAGCTCTTGGAGGGTTTTGGGCTAATGTGCCAGCGGCTTTCAAGCACGGAGTGCCTGCCAGCGACTCAATCACATTCACAACAAACGAAGACTACCCAGAGACTCCAATACCCCTTAATTAAGGAATATACCTTAAATTATAATAGGATCCCTAATATGATTTAAGGTATATTGCTTAATTTAGGGGTTTTGGAGTCTCTGGGTACAGCAGTATCGACTGCAGGCTCTGTGGGTCCCTTCACCAGAGGCCGTGCGGGCCTTGAAAGAACAGAGCTCCGCTCCAAAAGCCATCTTGCAAGGGGAGGGGAGGCTCTCTCCATGCCGGTGGAAGCGGGAAGCCCGACTTAAAGGTTCATGGGTAGTTATAAGTGGGGACCCTAAACCCTAAACCCTACTATAGAGTTCATTCTGGTTTAGGGTTGCTACAAGTGGGGTTAGAAGTAGGGTAACGGTAATTATCACCCATACTAGGTGACTTGCAACCCCGCTCGTAACTAACCCTGAACCTCTAAGTAGTTAAAGCTTCATGGATGCATGGGACATCATGGGATGTAGTACCTAGGGCCACACACAAGGTAAGCATGCTCATAGTTACCTATGGCTCTCATTGAGGTCTTTTTTGCCTTACCTACTTGATACTCCGAGAAGACCCTAAGCCATGGACCCTAATTGGGGGTTTAGGGTTTAGGGTTTAACTTCTACGTAGCTGTGAACCTCCAAATGGACCCTACCCGGTGACCCGAAAGAAACCTATGCGGTAAATCCCAACTAGAATTTTGAGGTTCATCCATCATATGCTCGCAAGCTATGGGCCTGAAGAAGCATGGCCATAGCAGAATTCCCTTTATCATCCCTTTGGTTTCAGGGTTTCAGGGTTCAGGATTTAAGCGCCCAAACTGCAACACCCTCGTTTCAGTATTTACTTGTTGCCTTTTTAAGGAACTATATCGTGAGCGCTTGCAAGCGCTTGCGCGCGCGACGGGGCGAGCGCTATATATATATCCAGTAATAAGGTAGGCCTTTTTGGCTACAGGTAGGCCTCCTCAAGCTTAAATCCCAATGAACCGACTTAGGCTCAAGCGTCCCCGTCAGAGGACCGGGGGAGTCTTTAGGGTTTAGTGTTGATCAGGGCATTCTGCTTACTGGTGTTGTGTGTGTGAAACCTCTTCTTATGATTTAGAATGCCTGGATACCTGAACAAAGGCACTTTCGATTCTAACTGATTATACCGTTATTGCAAGTCCCACGAACCCCAAACCCTGAAGCTCTAAACCCCTGCAGTACCCCTATAGACCCCTTTATAGGAACCCTTATAGTTCCTTTAAAGGAACCCCAATCCCTGAAGCTCTAAACCCCCACAGTACCCCTATAGACCCCTTTATAGGAACCCTTATAGTTCCTTTAAAGGAACCCCAATCCCCGAAGCTTGAAGCCCTCCACCCTCCCAGACCTTTTCCCAGACCCTCGACCCCCTAATGAACCTTGCGTCTAGGTTCCCCAGGGTTTAGGGGTTTAGGGTTTAGGGTTTAGGGTTTGCCCTTTTTCTATTTGGGTTCCCTTAATAAACCCAAATAGTAGGGAAAAGGGTACCCTTATTATTGAGGGGCCACTAAACCCTAAACCCTTATTATTCAGGGGCTACTGGGGACACTAGGAGTAGTCTAAACCCTAAACCCTAAACCCCTTGATGAACCTTGAGTAGTCTGAACAGTTTAACCCTAAACCCTAAACCCTAAAGTAACAGTTAAGGCCCCTCTTAAAGGAACCTCAACCCCTAAACCCCAAAGCTCCTAGACTTTAGGGTTTAGGGTTTAGGGTTTAGGGTTTAGTATTGAAGGCGCCTTGATAATTACCTATACTATTTTGGGGCTCCTTACTATTAGGATTATAGTATACTATGCCCCAAAACCCTATGGCCCATTGTAAGTATAGTACAATGGGCCCCAAAAGCCCCATTCTAGTTACCAAGGCCCCTACAAGAGCCTTCTCTTCCCGAGCAACCCTAAACCCTAAACCCGAAACCCGAAACCCCAAACTCTAGCCCCTAAACCCTAATCCCTAAACCCTCAACCCTTAGCCTTCTCTTCGGGAGCACTTCGATCTCCGATGCGGAGGCGGACCCCTTCGGTAGCAGCGGGGAAGAAGCGCCGAAGCCGGTACCGAAGAAGGCCGGATCGGGTTCAGGCTTAGGGGGTTTAGGGCTTAGAGTTAGGGTTTAGGGTTTAGGGTTTAGGGTTTAGGGTTCAGGGCTTGGGGTTTAGGGTTTAGGGTTTAGGGTTTAGGGTTTAGGGTTCGGGTTTAGGGGTAAG